TCTGCCCAGAGCCATCTGCTGGGGGCGTGAACTCCGCAATGGAGGTTCGACCTCCGTCCTGGAAAATTGGCCATCTATTCTGGGTGCTCTCTCCTCCATCTTCGAAGTGGACGATCATCTTTGACACCCTTGTTAGATCCTGGGGGGGGCATCAGAGCGAGAGCCTTGCGAGCTTTCAGCGCCCGCGCCCTGAGAGCTTGCATCGAGATGACGGCCCGGGCAGGGCAAGGCAGCGGGAGGGTGTGGGAGACGTGGATGGTGGGGCAGAGCGAGAGAGAGGGGGAGAGCGCAATACTTCGGACAGCAGGTCTGTCCGTGCCCCGAGGCTACGACCGCCCCACAGGCCTTCCCACAGGGGTGGTGGGATGACCTCCCCCCTGGCGCGGTTTGTGGGGACCCCGACTGGGGGCACGAGGCGGTGGGGAACGCAAGAGCGAGGACGCTGACGAGGGGGCAGAGGGAGGTGGACACAGCGGTGGGCCAGGGCATAGTCGGCGCATGCTGTCGAACAGGTGGAGGTAAGGCATGAGTTCGTCTTCTGCCCCATAGCACCCGCAGTTGCGGATGAGAGAGAAGGGGCGGGGTCGTCGGCAGTTTGCGAGGCTCGACAGCAACTAAGCAAGCTTCAGGCATCTGTTTGACACAGCGAACCCGCTGCTCAAAAACAGAGTGGGCGGGTTGCGGATGGGTCGTCGGCATATCGCGGGGCAAATCGCGTGGCGTGTCGCGGGTAGGTGGCGAAGTGGGTCGCGGGAGGGGGCTGACAATAAGAACTATAATTTGAAGGAGTTTCTGTAAATCTTTTTTTTTTTGCTACGGAGCCTCTAGGGTTCTCTTTCCTTGAAGTGGCGAAGGGCCAAGGCGGTCGCCCCGCAGGGCGAGCAGTTCACTCTCCAAGGTGGCCTTGGCTCGGGTCCCCTGCGGGCGGAAGCACCCATCTGCCCCGCGGCGTGCCAGGCACGCGGTCGGGCAGCGCTTCCTGTCGAGAGGGCCGAGCTCGGGCCAACCTTCTGGAGCTGAATGCGCTGGATCCCCACAGCGCGGCAAGACGAGGGTGGCGCCTTGCCGCCACACGGAGCCGAGCTTCAAAAATCTCTGACGGACTGGCCTGGCGAGCAAGGCGACGGGCATTTAAGGTGGCAAGGAAGGCGTCGATGCAAGCAGCGCGTTTCTGTCAATCTGAAGCCCGGCGCGCGAGAAAGTTGCCTCCCAGCGCGCCCCCAAAGACCATTTACGGCGATGCGCCAGGCGCGCCGGGCGCGCCCGGCGTGTCCCGATCAGGCGCCCTCGCTCGAGACGTCCTCGCAGAACCGCCCCACGGGCCCCCAGCGCACCCCCAGGGACCATTCCGGCGATGCGCCGGGCGCGCCGGGCGCGCAGGGCGCACGGGGCGAGGACGAGGACGAGGACGAAAACGAGGACTAGCAGGAGGGCGAGCGCGAGGAGGAGGAGGAGGAGGAGGAGGAGGAGGAGGAGGAGGAGGAGGAGGAGGAGGAGCAGGGAGGAAGACGTAGGAGGACGGAGGAGGGAGGAGGGAGGCGGAAGGAGGAGGAGCAGGAGGAAGGAGGTGAGGGCGAGCGCGAGGAGGAGGAGGAGGAGGAGGAGGAGAGGAGGAGCAGGGAGGAAGACGTAGAGGAGAGGAGGAGGAGGGAGGCGGAAGGAGGAGAGCAGGAGGAGGAAGGAGGTGAGAGCGAGAATGAGGAGGGAGGGAGGAGGAGGAGGAGGAGGAGGAGGAGGAGGAGGAGGAGGACGGATGACCTCCAGGGACCTCCAGCTCGTGAGCCTCGCACTCCTGATTCTCGCCCTCCTGATCTTCACCCGCCGCACCATCGCGGCCCGCTCATTCTCACCATCGTCGTCGAGCACAGACGCACGCCCTTCTTCTATATCCAGGATCTCCCGATCAACCGCAGCGCGGCCAGCAAGTACAAATCCGAAGAATGACGAACATCCGCACCGCGGAACCCCAGTTCATCAACGCACCCAGGGAGAATAGAGGACCGTTCAGACCCCTCACTCTGATTATCGTTCATTTTCGTCGCGATCGTCGCTGTCTTGTACGATGCTCGTGGCACGTAGAGACCCACCGATGCCATCAGCCCACCAATTCCGCTGTCCTGCGTGTGGTCGCTGTGTTGGAAGCGGGTCGTGGGCGTTTGCTCCCAAGCAGTCGTTGAGAATGTCCTGCGCTGCCACGCGTGATGCCCACCTCATTTTCGCTCACACGTGTGAGGGAAGGGACCTAATGCTCGCCCTGCACCGCGGAACCCCACTTGATCAACGCACCCAGGGAACGTACAGGACCGCTACGGCCTCTCACTCTGATCATCGTTCGTTGTCGTCGCGGTCGGGTCGTCGCTGTCTTGTACGGTGCTCGTGGCACGTAGAGACCATCCAATGTCGTCAGCCCACCGCTTCCGATGTCCTGCGTGTCGTCGCTGTGCTTGAAGCGAGTAGTGGGTGTTTGGCTGCCAACCAGTCGTTAAGAACTTCCGCGCTGCCACGCACGATGACCAACCCAGTTTCGCTCACACGTGTAAGGGAGGGGGCCTCATGCTCGCCCTGCACTGCAAGGGCTCGCACCTCGGCACGCACACGTCGACTTTCATGGCCTGACTGTGGCTCCCTCGTCCTCCTGGCCGTTTCAAGGCCGCCTCGCGCCTCCGCGCGTTCCCTCTTCTCTGTGCCTCGCTGTGTTCCTGCGCGCCCCGCCGCTGCTCGACAGCCATCTGAACCTCGGGCTGCTGCTGACTAAACAGAAGGGTGGGGGCGGCAAAGGGGAAGGGCGGAGGGGCTACGAGCGGACGGACGACCACCGCTGCGGACACCTGCCCGGGCCTGGCCAAGACCGGGCGGGCGGGGACGCGGCCTCTGGGAAGACTGGCTTGACTGGCGCGGGGGGGCGCGGGGGCGAGGGGAAGTGTGAGGGGATGGGGGCATCAAAGGTCGATCGAATGGGGCGTCGGAGGTCCACCAGCCTGGGCGGGCGGCCCCCGCCCCGCCTCTTCGCGCCGCGCGTGTGCTGGGGATGGGGACTACTTTCCAGACGTGCGGTGTCCCAATTTTGTCGGCACGTGGCCCCCGGATGCCCCGACCCTTTCTCTGGGATCGGTTTTTCGTCCTGACCTGTTTTTCGATGGCCCCGGGCCCCGGCAAGGGCCCCAGGGGGCGCGCGAAACGGCCGCAAACCTCCCGCCCTGATCTTTTCACGACGCGGGCACGTCTGGGGACCCACTTGGGTGCCCCAAGGGCCGGAGAGGGAGGAGTCGGAGCGGCAGAGGCCGCGGCCAGCGACCTCTGGCGGAGGCCGTGGCCTCCCTCACTGCAACCGAGGCGCGACGAGCAGAGGGGGAGGAGGAGGAGGAGTACGAGGAGGAGGAGGAGGAGGAGGAGGAGGAGGAGGAGGAGGAGGAGGAGGAGGGGGAGGAGGAGGAGGAGGAGGAGGAGGAGGAAGAGGAGGAAGAGGAAGAGGAGGAGGAGAAGAGGAGGAGGAGGAGTAGGAGGGGAAGGGGAGGAGGAGGAGGAACGACCGTACCAAGAAGGGAAAAGACGAGGGCAAACGGGCAAGACGCGAGAAGAGGGCAAGTGTCCCCGCTCCAGATCGTCTCAGGCTACGGCCTCATTGCGTGCAGTGCAGCGGCTCGGCACTCAGTGCCAATAGTGTAAAGAAGCGCGGCGCTGGGCGCGGCGTGCGTGATGATACGCAGTTTGTTGTAGACAGGAAGTGAAACTGCTGTCCGACGGACAGCCTCAGGAATAGCGTGCTCAGGGTTAACATGTTCCCCAGGCGTCCCTAGGCCGATGCGAACGAGAGGGTCCGAGGAGAGGAAGGAACGAGGTAACGCGAGGAAGTGAAGGCGGGGGCAGGTGAGGTAATGGCCGAAACGATTTGGGCAAGCAGCGCACCCGAACAGACAGGTGCGGCGCGGGCCGAAGGGGAAGCAGTGACTGGTCCACCTCGCTCCCGCCAACGTCTTATATACTGCCCAGCGGATGGGGCCCTCTTCGAGAGATGACTGGCTAATTCCTGCCAGCGGTCGGTCAGATTCCGTGGCACTGCAAGATCAGGTAGCACCGATGAGAGACGGCGTGCGATAGTCTCAGCGAACTTATCGGGGAAGATGGAGGACAGGAGGACCGAGGCGAGGGAACGCTGGACCCTAGCACGCCTGGATTCTTGGGCAGCGGCAGACTGTTCATTCGCGGCCGCTCGCTGAGCTGCACGCCAGACGAGCGGTGAGACCGAGTACGGTGGTTTGCCGTCAGCAAGCTCGCGCCAGTATTCAAAGATGCCATGGCACTTCCAAAACGCGGGAGAAACGGTGGCCCGAATACGGGCCTGGGCCGAATCCGCCAGGGGTCAGTTCTGGGTTGAGCTTGTCTTGAGCAAATACTAAAGAGCGATACAGTGGCTTCCAGTCGGGAAGCGTGACAGATGCCGTGCGCCACGCTGAGGCCAGTGAAAGCGTGATCAGTGAGTTGGGGGGGGGGCGAATGCGACCACGAGCGAGTACCGAGGAGGTCGACGAGGCGCCAGGAATTGGGGGGAAACCTGAGAATCTTATGTAGGGTGCCACGTTCGTGCCTCAGGAACGTGGCTGGAAATGGAAAATACTGCGTGAGGTACGAGAGGACAGTGATAACACATGTGTTATACAGTTTGAGCGCCGCTGCGGGGCTAGGAGCGCTCGCCGCGAATTGTACAACGCGCAGCCAGTAGTTATCAAATGTGGCTTTCCATTGGATGTCTGAAGTGACTGCTGGGCCAATGAGCAGGAGGAGGAGGAGGAGGAGGAAGAGGAGGGAGGAGGAGGAGGAGGAGGAAGAGGAGGAGGAGGGGGAGGAGAGAGGAGGAGGAGGAGGGAGGAGGGAGGAGGAGGAGGAGGAGGAGGAGGAGGAGGGAGGAGGAGGAGGAGGAGGAGGAGGGGAGGGGAGGAGGGAGAGGGGGGGCAGCGTCGGCGGGCGCCAGCGAGGAGCGAGGCACGAGCCACCCCCGGGTCCCGGCCGCAGCACGTCCGCGGCCAAAGCCGTGGACGCGAACCAATCGTCCACCGCGCCCCGGAAGCGCCTCCGGTCACGGCGGCAGTCACAGGCTTCGCGGGGGGTCTGGTGGGCCTGTTTTCTACCATCACCACCATAAGCAGGAGGGGGAGGGGGTCCTCCTCTTCCTTCTCCACCTCCTCCTCCTCCTCCTCCTCCTCCTCCTCCTCCTTCTCCTCCTGTATTCCCAGTCAAGAAGGAGCAGGGGGACAAGGGAGTAGCAGCCTTCCAGCTACTGAGGCATTCCCTACTGGCAGAAAGGATGAAGTTGAGAGTGGACATGGTGGAGTCAGAATCGCAGGAAAGACTGGAGGAGATCAAGGACGCACAGAGACAATACTGGTACTATATGTCCTCCTCGGAGGCGCGCGTCCGACCCGAACATATAGTATACCCATCTTGTAGTATATCGTTTCCCGAGCGGTGTGGCCAGAAAGCGCCTGCCACGACGCATATACTATAAGATTTCTCGGCGCGCGCGTCGCCTCCAGAGGTGCGACGCACACATAGCAGAAGTATGTTAGGATGACGCCGATCATAGGTTTCGCGGGGATCGGGCCGTCCTTACCCGAGCGACGAGAAGAAGGGGGCCTCACGCGAGATGGCACAGGGCGGCCTTGCGCCGCGGCTTGCGCGGGCCGCCGGCGCGGCACGCCACACTGGAGACGAGGGCGCGCGCGCGCGACCTTGCGCGGGCAGCTCATGCGCCAATGTCGGCGCGGACGACCCCGCTTCTCTGTGCCGCTCACCCCTCGCCATGAGGGAGAAAGGTCCCGAGGGAACCGGGTCCCGAGGTATTTCGCCGTTTGTCGGGCCCTCAGGGCAGTCGCAGGGCCCCAGGACCGTCAGAGAACGACTCGGGATGGAGAGCTGGTCCTCGGGAAATGCCCTGGGGTCCAGGACCCCATTCCCTCAGGACCCGCTTCCTCCGCTTCCTCTATGCCAAACCTCACACGTCCCAAGCACCCTTGCCATGGACGTGCGCGAGCACTTGACCCCATTCGGGCTCTCTGCTGGAAGAGACGCTCACGCATGCTGGCCTATAACATTCAGCTTCAACGTCGATACTTTGCGAATCAAGGTCTTGATCGTTTCGACAGGCGGGACCGCGAGCAATAATCCTATGCGGGCGCTTTCAGCAAGATGTCTATGGACGTCAATGTCACTTTGGAGACCGGTTGCCTATATGCCCTGGTCTCTGGTCGCAGTCTTCAGTCGGCGTCTCCGCAAGTCAGTATCCGCCACCGTCCCCCCATGGCACGTTGAGGCGTGCTAGAACGCCAAGGGCTGCCTGGTAGGATTCTTTACCTCTTCTGAGCACCCCCCCATCGACACGCTCACGGGTATGTAACGCCCCGCACCCCTCCCGCGGCTCCCTGGGCGCTGCTCGACGCCTCCCCCGCGCCCCCCAAGGCCTCCAGGATGTCCAGGACGGCTTCCAAGACGGCCCGGGCAGGCCACCACGGCCGTCAAAATGGTCCAAGAGGCCTCCAAGACGGCTCAAGATGGCCCTAGTTGTCCTAGAAACGGCCCTGGGAGCCGCAAGCAGGACCCGATGGGGGCTCCAAGGGGACCCACAGGAGGGCCCGAAGACGCGCCCAAGAAGCCTCCAAAGTCTCCCAACGGGTCCCCACGAGGCCCCAAGAGAGGAGGAAAGAAGAGGCAAGGAGGACGGCGACAACGAACACCAAGAGCCGACGACAAAACACACCAGGAGAGACACTCCGTCAAGACGCGAAACAACCGTGTCGAGGCCCCAAGAGAGGAGGAAACAAGAGGCAAGGAGGACGACGACGAACACCAAGAGACGACGACGACAAACACCAGGAAAGGCACTCTGGCAAGACGCCAAAAAACCGTGTGACATACTACGGCTCTCCGGAACCTCGGGACACGAGGTGTCACACGCGACGGCCTCCTGTGCGCTCCTTGAGCAGTCGTCACCCCAGAGTGTTGGGCTGATACGGCGGCGGGACTTGCCGCAGACAGCTTGATACCATGTGACATATTCTACCGATGCGCCACTCTACATGTTGCTGTGATCAGAGTGCTTAGGATGTCTGTGGCTCAGCGGGACGTCAACTGCCATGCAAGGTTCTGCGCGTGAGCAGGCGCCTTCTGGCGCGTCTGCAAGCACATCGTAGTCCGGCGTCCACGAATATCGATCGGACGAGTAACGACGGCCATTCCGCGAATCCCAACATCACCGCGTCCCAAGAACATGTCTGATAGTCGCTTGATGCCATCTTCCAGCACATGCGGGGCATCATCGGCGCGGGCACCGTGCAGATGCTCGGCACCCCTGCACGTGCTCACCGCCCTGGGGCTCCCGAGCAGCGCGGGGCGGAAGGCCTCCTCTTCACGTCCTTGTGATCCTTGTGCAGGAGGAGCAGGTCGCGGTCAACGTAAAGCGGCGCCGCCTCCTTTTGCCGGCGCGGAAATCGAGTGGGGGAAGGGCAGGGGGGAAGGGGATGGGAAGAGGAGGGGATTGGAAGGGGAGGGGGTGGCAGGGAAGGGGTAGAGGAGGGGGAGCAATGGGATGATGAGGCAGGCGGGGGAAGGAGAAGGGCAAGGGGAGTTCGAGTGAGGCATGGTGGGAGTCGGCGAGAGGAGAGGGCGGTGATATAGGGAGGGATGAGAGCGGGGCTTGGGAGGAGAGGGGCGAGCGGTTGAGGGAATCTGAGGGCAGCTGAGCGGGCCCGAAGGGATGCCAGGATGGCGCGGTGGGAGGGCGAGGTGAGGAGTAGGAGGAGGACGACGACGACGGGGGCAAAGAGGGAGGATGATGAGGGTTAAAGGGAGGATCAGCAGCGGCAGCATGAGGCGGGACACGAGGAGAGCACGGGCGCACGATGGCGAGCATGGGGAGGAGGAGAGGAGGAGGAGGCGAGCGAGCGAGCGAGCGAGGCGCCGGTGAAAGCTCGTGGGGCGAAGCGCGTGTGCCTGTGCCCGCTTGGGCAAGGCGCGTGAGGCCGTGTCCCCAAACGTAAACGCTGTGCAGAACTCTGACATCAAACATGGGACATCGGCCCGCACCATGTACCGCGTGGGTGTCAGAAGGTCGGGCCGAAGTGCCCAAGAATCGGTATCAAAAGTGAGACAGTAATTGCCACAGATGGACAGCGCATGACGGACACACTCCAAATACATGCCCTGTGCAAGAAACAGTCGACAGTCCACAACTCATCGGGCGATGTCGAGAAACAGCACAGAACGAATAATCGAGAAACGGGAGCGGGGATCGGAGACGATGAACGTCGGAATATCAGATCCTACAGAGATCTACCTTGTATGAAGACCATCATGGTTGTGCCACCGTTTGTAACCATCTTGTGTCGTTGACGTCGTACTGTTGGTAACGTCGTGGCCGTGTGGCGTCTCTCGTGTCGTGTTGGCAACGTCGTGGAGGGGAAGGACAAGGAGAAGCAATACTAGAAATGCGAGGGGAAGGCAGAGGCTGACGAGATGCAGACGTGGATGAGCGGGTGCGCGGAATCACACGTTGGACGTTCTGGCTGAGCATATCGTGCTGAGCTACTGCAGCAGCAACAGGACATCCTGCAGCAGCAGCAGCAAGTACAGCATAAGCAATTGAACTCTTTTTTGGAGGTTCTGGAAAGCTCGCAGGAGGCCAATGCGAAGATGATGAATAATTTTCAGAGTGTCGTCAATAGCCTCTCGGGCGCCCAGAGCTTCACCGGCAGGGCAAGTGGTGGGGATGAAGTCCCTACTGCCCGTCCCGCTGTGGAGCCAGCCGGCATACCAACAGGTGCCACACCGAACAATATCACGAAGTTCCCTGCGGAGTTGTGCAAAGCTTTGGATCGTATGGCGGGGGATTTTGAAAAACAAGTGTCACGCTTCGTCTCGATCCGCTCCCAGGTGGAACACAACAATCGCGACATCCAGATTCTACAGCAGGGGAAGTATCCACCGGGAGTTCGTGCCTTTAAGAGTACAGCGTCTTTGGCTGAACTTGACGAGAAGTATTCCAAAGCGGCCGACGCGGTTTACGAGATGAAGGTCATCATCCCCCAGGGCAGCACCAGGAGGGAGGCCAAGAGGCTGATGAATCTTGGCATGAACCTGCATCTCAAAGAGATCGACGCAAAGGTTTTGAATGCTTCAGCAGACGGCTTGAAAGAGTTGTCTTCGAAGGCCAGGTTCGCATCGCTCTTCAACGACGTGATCGCGAAGGCCTTCACGAACGGCGCCTCGGAGCTCGGCCTCGATGCGCCTGTGCAGAAGGAGATCGAGCAGAATGCTAAAACCCGCAAGCTGGAAGATATGTACGCCGACGTCGTGAATAAGGTGGAACGTAGAGAAACCACCCGCAAGGAGAAAGAAACCCAAAGACAATCACACACCTTAGATGAAGAACTTGTGAATGCCAACCCCAATGCTTTGTTCCGCGATGCCGTGAAACATGTTGTCGATCAAGAGCTTGCTGCTCGCGGCGAGGATGACGGCATGGGCGTGCGCACGGATGCACCCCCGAACCCTGCTGCAGAGACACTTTTGGCGAGCATGGCAAACAACGGCGGCGGCCCCGGGTCAGGCCGGGGGAAGCCCACGAAGCCCAATGCAGCCCTGCCCACCGACCACACCAAGCCCGCGCACACCAAGGGAGGCAAGGGCAGGGGCAAGGGCAAAGACAAAGGCAAGGGAAAAGAGCCGAAGAGCAAGAAGTATTGGCGCCCATGGGTGAGACATCGCGCTCCGAAAGGTGATGGCAAGGCAGAGGCGGTGGCAAATCAAAGAGTGGGCATGGCAAAGGCAAGTAAAGGATCAGTCGCGTTGTGCACGGAGGCTGGTCCACTTGATGGGCAATGCCCCCTTGTACGACTGGCTGCAAATAGGCAGGTTCGACGCTATCAAGAGCAGGGTCAAAATCTATACTGCTGATGGCGTTCTCGAGCCTCCCAATTCAATACCATGGCCAGTGGTTTGGTCTCTCGCGGTACATGTTCGCAGGCCTCTCGATTTGGGTGGCTCGCAAACTGCGGTCGCATATAGTGGCAATGCGGTACATCGTCCGTGACGCCGCAGAAGCTGCTCAACGACTAGGTGGTATGTTAGTCACCTGTTCCTCGAAGTTCGCATGCATTGACATAAAGGAGTTCTTCATGAGCGGGGACATCCACGAGCTGGCAGAGGATTGCACTATGCATTTGGCCGGTGATGCCCGCACGGTGACGCGCGAGGCAGTAACCATTCTTTTGGAGAGCCAATACGTCCGAAGCCCAAATGTGGTTGGGCGTTTCCGCTGTGTGGTCGGAACAGGCATGGGACTCATACACAGTGGTAATGTCGCAGATTCTGCTCTTGTTAATATCATGGAGTGCCATGTTGTTAGGAGGCGCATTATGAACCTGCACGCAATCATCACATACATGAGCTTCAATGATGCCATCTTGGTAATATACCATGACTTCGTCTTGTTCTACCAGTTCTTCTTTGACTGCATGGCGAGTCGGTCGAAGTATTTCCGCCTCAAGCTGGAAGGAGCCAGCGCCATGACAATCAGATGGTTGCAATTGGAGGTGTGCAAGTGGCACAACATAGTCGTGACAAAGCTGGCGTTTAAAGATTCCACTCTAGCAATCCCCCTGTCGTGTTCCAGTGCCCACCCTCCTCACATACATCGTACGTGGCCCATGGCCATGTGGCGTTCTCTCGAGGGTTTAGGCTTTAGGGGACATGGCAGGGGCATCGCACAGATTTTGAGGATAGATCGCTTGTCCAGTGCACCTATCCTGGAATCGGTTTTGCAGAGAATTCGCACGGCCAGCCCAGATTATATGACCACCCGAAGGCGGGGTGGTGGGGAGCAGGCGGAGCAAGGGCGATCCACGTCCTGGCTTGTCCTGCCTTTCCACCCGGAGTGGGCTGGAGCTGTAACACAAGCTTTGACAACATTCTTGGGTGACAGCATGTTTTCCGAGGTTTTGGTTTCCAATGGTCTCCAAGATTTTGGAAGAGTCCGAGTGGCATGGTCCAATACTTTGCCATCCATGGCGGGGCTTGTAGCTTCGACCATAGAGGGTTCGGCATAATTCGGTGGTTGGATGGGGTTTTGGAAGGTGGAACGTGGTAGTGGTTAAATCCATTGCCATTTCAGATCGAGCGGAGAGCTGAGTCCATGTAAAGCCCAATGTTCTCTGGCAAGGAGAACCCGCTTTCACGAGATTGGAATCGTCGTGACCGTTTAGAAACAGGAGTTGCTCATTCTCTCGGGCATCATGTACCGCGTGGGTGTCAGAAGGTCGGGCCGAAGTGCCCCAAAATCGGGATCAAAAGTGAGACAGTGATTACCACGGATGGACAGCGCATGACGGACACACTCCAAATACATGCCCTGTGCAAGAAATAGTCGACAGTCCACAACTCATCGGGCGATGTCGAGAAACAACACAGAACGAATAATCGAGAAACGGGAGCGGGGATCGGAGACGATGAACGTCGGAATATCAGATCCTACAGAGATCTACCTTGTATGAAGACCATCATGGTTGTGCCACCGTTTGTAACCATCTTGTGTCGTTGACGTCGTACTGTTGGTAACGTCGTGGCCGTGTGGCGTCTCTCGTGTCGCGTTGGCAACGTCGTGGAGGGGAAGAACAAGGAGAAGCAATACTAGAAATGCGAGGGGAAGGCAGAGGCTGACGAGATGCAGACGTGGATGAGCGGGTGCGCGGAATCACACGTTGGACGTTCTGGCCGAGCATATCGTGCAGAAGCAGTAGGAAGCTGGCCGAGGCCACGGCTGGCACACCTGCTCGGACAAGAACGGTGAGCGTTGATTTAATCCAACGGGCTTAGTGGGCGAAGAAGAAAAAAGGAAGGCGAGGGCGACGAGGAGGCGATGACGAGGACGACGTGGAGAACGTGAGGATAGCGAGGAGGAGCAGGAGGATAACGAGGAGGAAGAGAAGGACAATAGCGAGGACGAACAGAACGAGTGCGAGTACGAGGAGGAATGCGGAGGACGACGACGACGACGACGACGACGACGACGACGACGACGACGGAGGGCAGTGAGAGGCAGTTGGAGAAGGACGTTGACTCAGGAGAGGGTTCTGGTGACCCTATCGGGCTACCCTAGGGGCTCCTGGCGCCGCGCGGGGTTGTCTTGGGGCCTGTTGGGGGCCCCTTGGGTCCTCTTGTGGGCGGGTCTTCTTGGGCTGTCTAGGCGCGTCGTGGGGTTCTTTGGGAGCTCTCCTGGGTCGGCGCCATCTGGGGCCGTCTTGGGGCTTTCTTGGGCCGTTTGGGGGCCTGCTGGGGCCCTTCGCCCGTCTGGGGCCGTCTTGGGGTTCTCGTGAGCTGTCTGGGTGCCTCCTGGAGCGCTCATTGGGAGTCTCTTGGGGTCCTCTCGGGGCGCTCATTGGGTGCTCCTGGGACCCTCCGGGGCGTCTTTTGGGCCTCCTTTGGGCTGTTCGGAAGCCCTCCGGGAGCGATTCCAAGACGATGTCGGTTCGGAGTCCCTTCCGGGACCTATTGTTTGAGGATGTCTCGAGCGAAACGGCCATTTTTCAGAAACCTGACCAGACAAGAACGGGAAGCGTCGCTGTTGTTTGTGAAACTTGTCACGGGCTTACCAGCACGGCAGATCACAGGAGCATAGCAGACCACAGCAGTACGTCAGACCAGCACGGCAGACCAGCACGGCAGCCCAGCACGGCAAACCACAAGAACACAGCAGACCACAACAACACGACAGACTAGCACGGCAAACCAGCGCGGCAGCCAAGCACGGCAGACCAACACGGCAGACGACAGGACCATAGCAGACCAGCACAGCTTACCAGCACGGCAGACCAGCACGGCAGCCAGACACGGCAGACCAGCACGGCAGGCCAAGCACGGCAGACCAGCTCGGCAGACGAGCACGGCAGAGCAGCACGGCAGAGCAGCACGGCAGACCAACACGGCAGACGGCAGACCAATACGGCAGACCAGCACGGCAGACCAGCATGGCAGATCAGCACGCCAGACCAGGATGCCCTAGCGAAATCGTCGCCTTTGGTCGTGTTGAGGGCGCCCTTGGTGTCATAGTGAAGCAAATTTTCGGCTCTTCGGACCCGTCTTGATACCCTCAACAATGGTCCCAATGCGATGCTAGACACATCTTGTTTTTTGGGGGGTCCCATAACGAAACCTTCATTGAAGCCTTTTCGAGAGCGATTCCAAGACGGTGTTAGACCAACATGATTCAAAACGATGCTATCGTATTCGAAATCGCCGTTTTCGGCAATATTCCGGGCGCTCTTGGGGCCATCTTGGGGTCCTTTTGGAGCTCTTGTTTCATCATCTGGAAGCACTTCAAAAACGATATCAAACCGATCTTGAGAAGATATCGTTGTTTGAGGATGTCTCCAATGAGATGGGGCGTAGTCTGCCGTGCCTGTCGTAAAGGATCCTGCTCATGTTCTGTAGAATTCCCTAGCGATAACTCAATTAAAAAACAGGTACTCAAACACCTCTGCATACATTTCACTTCTTCGAGGATGTCGCAGACAAAACGCTCATTCTGATGTGCATCGAGAATCCTCGCCCTCATATTTCGGAGGATATCTCAGGCGAAACGCTTGTTTTGGTGACAAGCGATGTTGCGAACATCTCCGTTTTGTGAGGATGCCTCGAACGAAATGTTCGTTATGGGCACCTCTCTTGACATGAACGGGAAGCGCGTGAAAGCGACGAGTTTTGCAAGACCGTGCAACATCATCACGATCAAATGCTATGCTGACGAACTCCCCGAACTCCCACAAGGAGGTTCCGGAAAGCCCTCCTCACTCACTATTTTTGCCGCGACGAGGCCCCAAGAAACCCAAAAGACGGCCCCAGACCCTCGACCTCCTCGCTCGCGTTCCCCTATGTCAAGTCGAGTTGACTGTGCGCGCGAGTTCAGATGAAGCGCGCCCCCCGCTGGCGCAACTCGGCACTATCCGTCTCCAGACCCTCAACTTCCCCACTCGCGCTCCAACATGGCAGGTCGAGCTAACTTCCCACACGAATTCATGCGAAGCGCCCCCCCCGCTGGCGCATCTCCGCATTACCCGTCTCCAGACCTGCAGTCCTGCAGCCTCCCCACTTGCATTCTCCTATGTCAGGTCGAATTGACTTTCCGCGCGAATTCAGCTGAGGCGCACCCCCCGCTGACGCATTTCCGGTTTAGAGGCACGAGGTCACCAACTCTCTCCAAGCAGGGGGCGGCGGAAGGTGGCGCCAGCCTAAATCGAAACGCGCTTTCTTTTCTACCTGAACCGTAAGCACGATGCCGCCACGGGCGGCGGCGAAATGTGACGGCGGCGTCCGAGCACACAAAAAAAATCATTGAAGCGGACGCCGTATCTTGCCCCCACAGAGCTGTGAAGAGGCGAGTGAACGGGGAGCGAAAGAGGGAAGGGAGGGGGGGAGAACTTGAGCGGATAACACAAACATAACGTGTTATGTCAGAACGGCACCACCTGACTTTGCGCCGCCCCCGCCCTCCCAGCCCCGCCGACCATTCGGAAGACGGGGGAGGGGGAGGAGAGAGAGGACCACGGCCCGAAAACTTCATTGTTTACAACAACACACATTTAGAGGCACGAGGTCACCAACTCTCTCCAAGCAGGGGGCGGCGGAAGTTGGCGCCAGCCTAAATCGAAACACGCTTTCTTTTCTACCTGAACCGTAAGCACGATGCCGCCACGGGCGGCGGCGAAATGTGACGGCGGCGTCCGAGCACACCAACAAAAATCATTGAAGCGGACGCCGTATCTTGTCCCACACCACCGCTCAGTCTGCATTAGCGCCTGGCTGTTGGTGGCGCCTGGGCTGGGTGGGAGGGTCAGTGGCGCCTCCAGAAGCCGTCGCACGTTCACAGCCTCGATGAGGCTCCAAAAAACCATGAGATCAGTAACTACACAAACTGCATCACTCACGAGCCCTTACCGGGCGACATCTCTTCTTCTCCGTTGATTGCCCCCCGCGCTCGAGGATGTCTGGCGGAAGACCGACGCGGGCGGCCAGCAGAGCGTGCGTCTGCAGGTCTTTGAGCACGCTCTTCTCCGACGCCCGCCGCCCGCGCCGCTGGATAGCCCAAACAGTCTTGCAGCCCGTCGCCGCATCATGGCTCGGATCTGAGTGCCTGGCTGCATGGGGCAGGAGCCGCTCGACGCCAACGTCGCCGCAAGCATGCCTCAGAGCACGGCGGTAGGCGTCCACAGAGCAGCTGGCGACCCGGTCCGAGGGGCCTCGCTCGGCCTTCCTGCGCAAGCGCATGTTACTCCACTGCCGATAGTCGATCAGCACACTATGCCTCGCGCCCATCTTGGTCCCTTGTCGCGTTCTGCCACCCCGAGTCGTAGAGCCACGACCTGCTCACCCGCTCTGCCCACATCGGTCACGGCGTCGGCCGGCTGGGGGGCGAACAGCTCCCTGGACCTGAGGTAGGCGTCGATGCCGAGCTCGGCGGCGTCCGGGGCCCCCGCGATCCCGACCAGCCTCATGACCTCATCCAGCACGGCCCCGTGCTCGAGGGAGTGAGGTCCGCTTCCTGCCACGCTCAATCGATCCCAAGCTCGAAGTGCTCGGTTGGATCTGGGCAACCCTGTCGAGAGCTCAAGCCACACGGAGGAGACGCCGTGCACCCCGAAATCTCCTCTGTGCGAGCACACCTCCTCGTCCTCGGCCAGGCGGTCCAAGTAGCCCGGGACCGCGTCTTCGATCTCCTCCCGCTTCATCATCGTCAGGTTCCCCTCCAGCGCAAAGCCCAGGCCGCGGCGCACGTCGGCAACGTAGCAGCCCAGCGCCGTCTTGGTGGAGACCGAAAGCGGCAGGAGGGCCAGCCCGTGGGTTACCCCCTCCCTCCGCGGCCCCCGCTGCAGGTGCAAGCGCTCCGCGTCGTTCCTGCGGTGGGCGTTGCCCCTCTTGCGATGCTGATCGGGGTAACGAGGCCTCCCCACGCTGCTGCGCAGGTCCCTGACGACGTCCGCGACCGCGTGGCGAGGGGGCCCGTTGAGGAGCAGACGCCTCTGGGCCTCGTCGGCCCCACTCAGAATTATATCCGTCATGAAAGCCACGCGCCAGTCCCGCCACTCGGTGCTGTCGGAAGCCCGCTGCGTGAGGTCGCTGTACCACCGATGCGCCCACTCGCGTAGGTCTTGCATCATGTCTGCGTAGTCTTGCACAGCTTGAACTCGAGCCTCGTCGGGTAGGGGTGGTGGCCAACCCATCGCGGATGGACCTTCACCCTCGGTCCGCCAGATGCTCGAAGGAAAAGGGCAGGTAGTGACTCCAAGGACGTAGCGTCTCGGCGCCTGCGCTCCAGGGTCGCGTAGATCAACCGCTCCACGGCCCTCTTGGTCAGGTCGACCTCCCGTCTCTCCTTCAGGGTCGGCCTCGCCTCCACGAGGCACTTCGCCAACATCACGCAGAAGTCGGCCGAGTACATCAGCAGCTCCAGCCTCCGCACGTTGACCTCGGCCGTCCGGTCGAACTCTGCGCCGAAGCCGACGTCCACGCTGGTGCAGATCATCAGGTGGCCCCGCGAGTCCAAGATCCTGAACAGCCGGTCCTCCAGGTCCCCGACGCACGTGTGGCCACCGCAGTGGTGGACGAAGCGCAGCACCTTCACCGGGATAGAGACACCCACCCTGAGCGGCTGGAAGGGGTCTTCCTCCGCCAAGTCCGCCAGGGCCTCTATCCTCGACGCCGCCTTCTCTGGCAGCACTCGCTCGTCCGTCCTCCGCTCCCTCGAGGTCTGGCCAATCGTGAAACCCAGGGCTCGGCCCGTCGCGGTAGTTGCGGTCCGACGGCACCGAGCCCAAGTACTCCCGCATGCCGCACCCGAGGTCGCGGGCGGCCATCCCCCTGCGCACAATCAGGATGGACCGACTGACCTCCTAGCACCAGTTCGAACGTCTGTGGACCGGGTACTCACAGCGGCCGCCCCCGTGCGCATCTCCAGCGGGTCGATGTACTCCCTCTTTGACCATGTCCAGAGAGCAACCTCCTCCTACTGGGCGAGGCCGCCCCCTCACTCGTGCACAGGAGGACCGCGGATACGGATGCCCAACTCCACGTCGCCACCCACGCGTCTGAAGGCCTCCGCCTCGCGCCGCGCGTCTGCCGCCCAGGACGAGGTGACACCTGCCCAGACGGTCCAGCTTCCTCGAAGATCCTAGCGGGTCTCTCGACGCTGCCCCTCCACCGTAGCCGCCGTCGATAGGAGCGCACCACCGCAGAGGTTCACGTAGAACATCGTCACCGTCGGGCCCCAGAGCGTCGAGCGGCACCACGAGATCAGCAGCACTGTCGCTGCGGTCGCGGCCATCTCCCTCAGCACTTCCCGTAGGACCTCGCGTCGAGCTCCCCACCGGAACTCCATGCGCCCCGGGTACACGTCCGCGAAGACGCTCAGCACACCACGGCAGATCAGGAAGCCCCAGGACAGGATACCAACGCTCCGCGCACCCGTGTCGGGCAGCTCCCTCTGGTGGGTCAGGATCTCCCGGATGACGAAGACCACCGTCCCCGTCGTGTCCTGATTCGGCGCCAGACGGCTTCCCCATAGGTCGCCACCAATCATACAAGCATATTTCGATCAGGCATCCTTGTGCACCTTGAAGCCCGCGACGGCCACCAACTCCTTGGGACCAAGCCAGACCTCCTCCACCGTCGCCGCCGTCCCCCGCCCAGGCTGGGTCCGAAAGCCCAAGCCCAGGACACCGAAGTCGTCGATGTACTCCTCGTGCGTAGCAGGTAGCTCCCGACTGCGATGAGGTAATGGCCCGCCTTCGGCAAGTCGCAGAACTCCTGAAAACGAAGAAGACCCAACCCGGGGACCAGCATGGAGGGGGTCCTCCATCGTAGTCTGCGCCGCCCAGCACGCCCGAGCGGGGGCCATCAACGAGACCTTCGCCCCGACGCAGGGGACGTCCCCAGGCCCTGACGAGCCTTCGGGGGGCAGTGCGTCCAGCGCGTCGCCCGACACGCTGTGACTCACAAAGTGCGACGCCAGCTCCTCCCCCAACTCCACCGTGTCGTAGACGTCGGGGAATTCGCACGCGCCGAAGCGCACGCCCATGTCGCCCTCCTTCGTCTCCCCGGACACGTCCAGGAAAGACATCGCCCTGAACCCTCCCCTGGCACGCCAGAGGGGAAACCGCCAACGCAGGTTGGAACGTCTCTCGTCGAACACCAACCTCAGCGTCACCTCGGGCTCGTTCTCCACAGGCTCCGCCTTCTTCACAACGTAACAGAGCCCAACCACGTCCACCTTCTCGGCAGTGCGGCGCAGCATACCCGCTAATGCCACCCTTCGGGCCATCTGCAGCGTCTTCGTCTTTTGGCGGAAGGGCAGGTCCACGTAGTTGCGTCTCTGGCGGGCCTGAACACAAGCCTCGCCATCCTTCCTCAACATCCCCTCCTTGAACATCTCCAACTTCTGTGCCACTCGAGGCGACGCAGACCTCACACTCACAGGTCTGGTCCCCGGAGGAGGTAGGGCAAGTCGATCCAAGTGATCCGGAAACGTCTCGCCCCTGTCTGGCAGCCGTCCACTCCTGCCAGTGCTCCTCCTCCGAAGTTCGGCCACCCTCTGCTTGAAGGTAGACTGGGACTGATTGCCCGCCGCAGCGGCGGCAAGGCACAGCCGCAGGGGCGCGGCTCCTTGTGAGGGCGTAGTCGACGGCGGCGACGGGTGACCAACCTCTCCAGGCACCCGCCGAGAGAGGCCCCCGTCCAAGTTGTCGAACGCGATCCCGAGGCACCAGCAGTCGGCCAGGCCCAATAGACTGTCGCCCAGACTCCCACGGTGGAGCTGCCGCAACGCCGAGAGAGGGCGGTTCGCCATCTCGCCCAGCTCCATCTCCTCCTCTCAGCGCGAGAGCACTCGACGAGAGGTCACAACAGGCCGCCTCGGGCACACGAACAGCACCACCTCGGACAGGATGTCCCGCCGCCGAGACCTGAACGCCCAAATTCGGCGTGCACAAGCTCACGGGCCAGCCGACGGCGATGATGCGAGTCAGCTGCAGCAGAAAGAATGCACTAGACAAAAGACGCCGACGCGCGGAGGCCCCGCGACGCCAGCTACAGAGGCCACCCGACTCGACACCGAGCGCCCCCAACTGAAGCTCCTTGACTCTCACGGCGGGTCTACCGCGCCACCGTCTAAGTCGGCGGGCGCCTCCATCAGCTCCGCGTCGCGACCCATGGCCCTCTTCATTTCTTCCTCGACGATCATCACCCGAATAGTACTCTCGTCGGTAAACTGCGAGTCCAAGCGGTGCGCCGCCTCCCAGGCCAACTCCGACTTCCAGTTCTTGGCAGCATGGAGACGCCTCCCGTCGTCGCGGCTCTGGACGTCGCGGTCGACCCTCATGATAGCGCGCACCATTCGTGCCAGCCACTC